GCTTTTATTTATTTAATTATGAACAATAAATAAAATTTCCATTACTTCATCACTGAAATGAATTTTTTTTACTTGTTTACTTTACGGCAGTAAACTTGAAAAAGCATTGACGAACAGGTTGGAAAAAAAATTAAAACTAATTAATAAATATAGAAACTAAAGCAAATCTACTGTATTTAAATGATAATTATAATTATTGCTTTTAATTAAACTAATTTAAAATATTTTTAAAATGAGCAAAAAATTATTAAAACGGCTGGTGGGAGAACGAAAGTAGAATCTCATAAAAATATAGAAAAATCAGAGATGTGGAAGAGTTCAATGTAATTAAACTATTCTCATATATATATAGACAATTTGTACACATAAATATTACTTAATAATAATATAATTATATATTATATATAGCATAAAAAAGATATAATATAGTAATAATGGTAATTACTATGCTTAATGAAAGTAAAAATACCATTTGTGGATGTTCTTGCAAATTGCAGAATGTGTGCTGGGAGAGTATCTATTCAACTTCAAACCCACTATATCTGTAATGAACAAGGCATTTATACTAAAGGTTGCTAAAAATCCAATAAATTTGACTTACATATTCTCTCTATAGATCAAGAATTTGACAACATCAATCGATACATAATCCAAAAGAAAATGTTTGTATTGCACATCAGCAGAAAACTCATTCGACTAATAAAAGCGACTTTGAAAAATAGTAAAAGGAACAATATATACACAGGAACAATGAAGAGAAAGGAATAGCAATCCCGTCCAACAACAAAGATTTACAGCCCTCAACACAGATGCAGTATCCTCGTCAAGACCACTAACTTCAAATATCAGTAGGCAGGACCTAGCCGTCTTGATGTAGGTGATAATACAGCACTAACTGAATAGCAAACACACTACTATACTCAAAGCTTCCTTAAATTGTTTTGGTAGGAGCTGCCATGCCGAGATGACGATTTAGCATCTTCTCCGCAACTTTCTAGTTTTATGCAGGATTCGAATAAGTACACTAGAAAAAGCGTTCCTGGATAATCTGGGAAAAATTTCAAAATGGAGTTATGCCCTATTTTAATGTTTACGAGGTTCTATAGTTAGTTCTATAAAACATTGTTGACTATACCATGGCAAGAAGACGATTGAGTATCTTCTCTGCAACTATATAGCTTATAGACTTCACATGTGTACACAAGGGAAACCTAGGTGGAAATTGCTGAAATGAACTTATACCCTATGTAGATGCTTACGAGGTTAGGCTATATGGTTGATTTTGCGGAAAAGCAAACGATTTCTTAACTGGGATAGGATGGTGTCACAACGGGCCAATAGGGCGACAATCACTGTACTCAAATGTCTTAAAATATGTTGTATGTAGTATGAAAGTGTTATAAAAGTAATATACAAAAAAAATTTTTTTTTAATAACACAACAAAATTTTGTATTTATTTTATTTTTTAAAACATTAAACCCCCGTTAGATATATATAAATTAATTCTTAAAATAATTGGTGATATTTTTTCATTAATGAATACACTAATTTTTGAATCACGAAAAATTTATTTATTTGAAAAAAAGATTTAAAAATAATTAATGAAAAAAAGTATTATTTGATTGAAGATTATATAAAAATTCAATGAGAAGAAACGCAAATAATTTACTTATTTTTTAAATGAAAGAAAAAGGTTATATAACATTTTTTTTTTCAAATAAAAAAAAAGGATTAAAAAAAAAATAATTGATTAATTAATTAGATTTATTGAACAATGTTTTAAATAACAGATCAAACAATTTTAATTAAATAAATTAATAATCCACTATGCCACATATTCCCCTCAATCTGTTACTAAGAGATTTCGATTTAGAATTCAAGAAATAAATATGTATACATAATAAATATAATTTATTTTTTTTTGTTCAGAAAAAAAAAATCATTCATTAACAAGTTTTATAACTCCGCCGAGCAAAAACTAAGGCAGACTTAGAAAACAAAAATGTTAATTATTTGTTTAAACTAAAAATTTAAGAAACTGCTTTCTGTGGACCGAAATTTAAAGATCAAAGGTTTGGTTTTAAAAATAGCAAATCTACATTTTCGAATATTGTTTTAAAAATAATCTTATCTCCATTTGATAATCAACTTGTATGACAGACTAATTTACTTACCACATTTTCTGGTAGCTTATGTCCCGGTAAATATTTCACATTCTCATGAGTGTCGTTGATGATTTCTGTTAGTTTTCTGCCATTGACCACTTCTTCATAAACATACATATTAACGCGATTGTCGAACTCATCCATGTTAGCACAATTCGCGCCTACAATCTTGGCAATCGCAGATCCCCTTCAAGATGCAAGTTAGACATTGAGAAACGATAAAAAAAATCATAGATTTTAGAATCCATTTAAAATTATATAACATGTGGGAGTTGCATGGACTGCAACGTTGCATGCAAGCGTGTATTAACAAAACAAAAAAAATGACACCTACCAATTGCCAGAACCGACAATGCACACGCTTAGTTTTTCCATATTGTTTTATTTATTAAATCAAAGGTAAAATTTTTGAAATCAAGCGATTAATTCAAATCGTAGCGTAAACTTTTCTTTTGGATTTTATTAATTCACCAAACACGTTCAACACGTACAAAGCAACAACGACGACTGATTGCAACCAGCAAGCAAATTGTCCAATTAGAAAAAATAGCTGGTACTCGCATTAACCAAGATTGCTCTTTGGCTGACTGCTGTGAGGTACAAGAGATTTGATAATCCGTTGAGAGAGAAAGAGAGAGAGAGAGTTTGCTATTTTGTTTTCCGTGCACGTTGGTTGATAAACAGAGTTTTTTTCCGTTTTGGAGGGGTTTGTTTTTTAATTTTATTTTTTTTCTTAATTTTTTGTAATATGTTTTACTATGGAAGCACTTTACATTCTATTGTTCAGTTTTTAAACCATAATTATTTATAATCACAAACATTTATGAAACTAATTAAAATTTAGCTACTTAAATTAATACTAAATACTATATATAAAATATAATACGTAGTTTTGTTTATTTTAAGACTGAAAAAATATAACTCCGACTATCAAATCACTGTGATAAACTTTTGACGTTTGTCTTCAAAGGAATATGTAATACAAAATCAGTGATGCCACCCTATAAACTAAAAATCTATTCATGAATATAAGATTGTGTTATACCAGGTTCGCACTATCTCATTTAGGCACTTGCTCATTTATATAAATGAGGAAGCATTCACATAATAATGAGCTCATTTATACAGCTTTTAGAACTTTTATATGTCAAAAAAACTATAAAAGAACTTTCTTTTGTTTACAAATAAAACACAAAGAAAAAATTTGGTATTGTGTAAAATAAATATTTTAAAATGGGAAACGCGGAAAATTTAAAAAACATAATATATAATGTGTGTGAAATTATTAATAATAGAAAGAAAGAAAGCAATTTCTGAATATCGTAAATGTCGTGCAATGCATATTTCAAAATATACTTGAAATAAGAAAAAAGCAAATAACAATACTTTCTACAATAATTGCTAGCAACCGGAGGAAGTGCTGGACTTTGGTTAGTGCCGCCAGTAATGATTATTAAATAAAGTTTAAAATTAACATTTTTTTTCAGAAAATAACAAAGAAATTCTGGGAAATGGATTGCCAGAAAAATGGTCCAAATTTTTTCAAAGAAAATTTTCGCATGAGTTTGGAATGTTTTAAGGAGTTATGTGAATTATTAAAAGGACTACAGAAAAAAGATATAAACTTTCAAATTTTAATTTCTTTAGAAAAGAGAATTGCCATTGGCTTGTATTGCCTTGGGTCGTCGGCTGAATACAGAAGCGTAGCAAATCTGTTTGGCGTTGGCAAGTCAACCGTGTGCATTTGCCTGAAATTATTTTGCTACTAAAAATTTAAATATTTAATTGATATTTTAAATCATTTATATACATGTTATATATCAATTATATATTCAATTAATAAAAACAGATTGTATTTAATGCTCACTTTTTCAGTGTGCTTGTTTACAGCTCAATTGTTGTTTGTTTACATTTTAAATTTAAAAATATATGACAGACACTTCAAATTTTGGTCATTTCCCTTCTGGGAAATTTTTTTTAAAGGGTTGCATTCGACAATTTTGGTCTAAAATGAGCTGATTTATTGTAAATCAGCACATTTATATGAAAGCTCTTTGTATGGTAAATCATGCTCATTAGTGATTATAATGAGCAAAACCGCCTAAATGAGATAGTGTGAATGTACTATTAATTGACATGTTATTAGCCGTAATTTTTTTTTTTCAGAGTTGTAAAAATCATATTAAGTCTGGTTGAATCAAATTATCATTTTTAAAATTTGTTCAATTCTTTTTTGACATGCGTTTTCATTGTGTTAATGAAATATATTGAGAATAAGATTCTCAAAGAAAGCGGCCCCTAAAGTAATGAGTTCTGTCAAATATATTTATTTGATCACATTGTATCTGTCAGTATATAAACAAATAATTGCACAATACAATATGACTCTTTCTTTGTCTAACAATTAAAAAATGTGTGCCAAGGCATCCACACATTTACACAGGAATTATATATTTTTCCTTTAAGCGATTTACTGAAGTGTTTAGTGTTTTCATACACTTATACATAGTTTTGTAAATCAATCTTATACTTGACCGTGATATCAATATAATTATAAAAAATATGAATAAAATTAGGTCATTAAAATATAAATTATAAACTTATTACTGTACATAACACTACTTTGACTATATGCGTATCACTCAATTGATTACAATTAAAGTGATTAATAAATTTCTCGCTGGGTAGGTTGCATTGTAACGACAATACGAGTATCTGGCAGCACTAAACCTTAAACATATGTTTGAAAAATAGTTTCAAAACTCGTGCTAAATTTAAATAAGCAAAATAGAAGTGATAAATAAATAATCCAAATAAATATTGAGAAACTTTTTTTATAATGGTACTAAGCAATATAAATGAAAATAACTGGGACAGTGACCCAAAATCTTGGTCAAAACCGATAAAGCCGCTCGAAGAGAAATGGAAACTAGTGCCGGCTTTTTTACAGGTTAAAGGATTAGTAAAGCAACACATAGACTCTTTTAATCACTTTGTTAATGTAGACATTAAGAAAATTGTGGAAGCAAATCAAATAGTATTAAGTGATGCAGATCCGTTGTTTTATCTTAAATATCTTGATGTGCGGATTGGCAAACCAGACATTGAAGATGGCTTCAATATAACAAAAAATACAACACCACATGAGTGTCGTTTGCGCGACACCACCTACTCTGCACCCATAACTGTAGACATCGAATATACACGTGGTACGCAGCGTACAGCGCGAAATAATTTACTCATCGGAAGGTTGCCCATCATGTTGCGCTCGTCGAACTGCGTCCTAACTGATAAATCTGAATTTGAGTTGTCGAAAATGAATGAATGTCCATTAGATCCAGGTGGTTATTTTGTAGTACGTGGTCAGGAAAAAGTAATACTCATACAAGAACAGTTATCATGGAATAAAATGATTACCGAAGAGTTCAATGGAGTTGTACAGTGTCAAGTTACTTCCTCCACACACGAAAAAAAATCACGTACGGTTGTTCTTAGCAAACACAACAAATACTATTTGAAACACAATTCAATGGTGGACGACATACCGATTGTGGTAATTTTTAAAGCAATGGGCATTACTTCAGATCAAGAAATTATGTCACTTATAGGTATGGGGGTAGAAACGCAAAACCGATTTGCACCATCGTTATTTGAAGCTTACCATTTGAAAATTTTCACACAACAAAGAGCTTTAGAATATATGGGTGAGTTGCTAAAATGATAGAATTAATGTGTTCTACAAACTAACTAAATTATTTCATTTAAGGTTCTAAACTCGCCGTCAAAAGGTTTCAAACTGCTAAGACTGTTCCTCCAGCTGATGAAGCGCGAGAGCTTATAGCAACTACAATTTTGGCGCATGTGCCAGTGGAAAATTATAATTTTCAAATTAAATCTGTTTATGTGGCGCTTATGGTGAGGCGTGTAATGGCAGCCGAATTGGATATTACAACTGTGGATGATCGTGATTATTATGGCAATAAACGTTTGGAACTAGCCGGATCCTTAATATCACTTATGTTTGAGGATTTATTTAAACGTATGAATTGGGAATTAAAAATGATAGCTGACAAAAATATACCCAAAGTAAAGGCTGCCCAATTCGATGTTGTGAAACACATGCGTGCGGCACAAATTACTGTTGGCTTAGAGTCTGCAATTTCATCTGGCAATTGGACTATAAAACGTTTTAAAATGGAGCGTACTGGGGTTACACAAGTGCTTTCACGTTTGAGTTATATATCAGCGCTGGGTATGATGACAAGAGTGAATTCACAATTCGAAAAGACAAGAAAAGTTTCTGGTCCACGTTCACTGCAACCCAGTCAATGGGGTATGCTATGCCCATCAGACACACCTGAAGGTGAAGCTTGTGGTTTGGTAAAGAATTTGGCGCTTATGACACATATAACAACAGAAGTTGATGAAGCACCTGTAATACGTTTGGCGTTTAATGCAGGCGTCGCAGATATACGGTTTGCTGGCGGAGATGCGATTAATAATCCTAGCATGTTTTTAGTATTTATCAATGGTATGTATAAATAAAATTACAAAATTATCTTATTGTAAATAAAAACAATCTTTTAATTTACAGGTAATATACTCGGTTTGGTTTCGAACTACAAGCGTTTAGTGGAAGTATTTCGTATGATGCGTCGTAAAGGTCAACTGGGTCCTTTCGTTTCTATACACACTTCACACACGCAACGCTGTGTTTATATACACACTGATGGTGGACGCCTTTGTCGTCCATATATAATAGTAAAATATGGCAATTCAGCAGTTACTCAAAAACATTTAGACGAAATGGAAGGAGGTATACGAAAATTTGAAGATTTTCTACATGATGGCCTCATCGAATACTTAGATGTCAATGAAGAAAATGATTCATTTATTGCCTGGAATGAAGCAGATATAAATGCAGGTACCACGACTCACTTAGAAATTGAGCCATTTACATTACTCGGTGTGTGTGCTGGTCTCGTTCCTTATCCACATCATAATCAAAGTCCACGAAACACCTATCAATGTGCTATGGGTAAACAAGCTATGGGAGTAATCGGCTACAATCAAAAGAATCGTATTGATTCACTTATGTACAATTTAGTTTATCCTCAAGCACCCATGGTCAAATCGAAAACAATTGAACTGACTAACTTTGATAAGTTACCTGCTGGCCAGAACGCCACTGTTGCAGTGATGAGTTATTCAGGCTACGACATTGAAGATGCGCTTATTCTCAATAAAGCATCAATTGATCGCGGTTTTGGTCGTTGTTTGATATACAAAAATTCAAAGTGCACGGTTAAACGTTACGCCAATCAAACATATGATCGTATTATGGGTCCAGTCAAGGATGCTGTTACAAATAAAGTTATTGCCAAACACGATGTCTTAGATACAGATGGTATTGTATCACCCGGTGAAATGGTTGTTAATAAGCAAGTACTCATAAACAAAGAAATGCCTGCGGTAACTTCTATAAATCCTTTAGAGCAAAGTGGACAAACTGCACAAGTAAGACCAGCGAACACTGTTTTAGAAGGTTTTTTTAATTTATTACATTTTACAGATTCCATATACACCAGTGCCAATTCAATATAAGGGCCCTGAACCTAGTTATGTTGAAAAAGTGATGGTCTCTGCTAATAGTGAAGAAGATTTTCTTATTAAAATTTTGCTACGACAAACAAGAAGACCTGAAATAGGCGATAAATTCAGTTCACGTCACGGACAAAAAGGTGTAACTGGCTTAATAGTGAATCAGGAGGATTTACCATTTAATGATTATGGTATATGTCCAGATATGGTTATGAATCCACATGGTTTTCCCTCACGTATGACAGTAGGAAAAACACTTGAGTTATTAGGCGGAAAAGCTGGTCTACTGGAAGGTAAATTTCACTACGGTACTGCTTTTGGCGGCTCCAAATGTAAAGACATACAGGATGAACTTTTCAAACACAATTTCAATTATATGGGAAAGGATTTTTTCTACTCGGGCATAACTGGTGAACCGCTCGAAGCTTACATCTATTCTGGTCCCGTCTATTATCAGAAATTGAAACATATGGTACAGGATAAAATGCATGCACGTGCTCGTGGTCCAAAGGCTGTGCTAACTCGTCAACCCACACAAGGTCGCAGTCGTGAAGGCGGTTTACGTTTGGGTGAAATGGAACGGGATTGTTTGATTTCTTATGGTGCCAGTATGTTAATTATGGAAAGACTAATGATATCTTCTGATGCATTTGATGTGGATGTCTGCAAGACTTGTGGTCGACTTGCATACTGTTCTTGGTGCAACTATTGTCAGTCATCAGCAAATGTTTCGAAAATATCAATGCCATATGCATGCAAATTATTATTTCAGGAACTAACTAGCATGAATGTTGTACCAAAACTAAAGTTAGAGAATTATTGAAACTTTTGTTGGAGTAATGCCACTTCCATTCTTGATTTCTAACGTTAAATAATGATATTCAGTGATTGAGTTTTTTAAGTAAAGGAGTTTCTATGCGTAGCCGCTAAAATCCAATGAGGATAGTCCTTTTCCAAAACCTGCGACAAGGTGCTGATTTTCACCAATGTTTAGGTTTGTTTTTAACATTTTTTCGCAATATAAATTTGATTCTTATGGTACAAACAGGTTATATATATAACATATTGGCAAAAAAAATGCTTTATTCACCGTTCCCAAGTACCAGTCATAAATTGGTATTATTCTAATGATTATTAGATAAATGACAGTGATACGTCCATTGATACTTTCAAAGCAAAAGACAAAAAGAGCTTTGTACGTTGAGCAAATATTACTTTTTGGCAGGAAAAATATCGTTAACGCAAAAGATGGTTTAGATAAGTACTAGGAAGACTGTGTCCCAGGAAAATAAGTCACAAGTTATTGGAATATTGAATTTAAACGTTGTGTTTGCAGAGACCAATATACCAAAAGCTGTGGTTGCCGAACGAACTGATGGCTGATAACGTAAAAAGATCAATAGAACAATTGGATTTCTTCACGCGATATATAATCATTAATCGGACATGTTGCAAGCATTATATTCAATGAAACAGAAACGAAACAGTCGTCCGAAAAATGTATGTTATTTGTCTTTTGGGATGTGCTCGATGCAATACGTAACGTTTATCTTGAAAAGTATTAAAACAACTTAAAGAAGGAGTTGTATATATATAGTTCTTTATAAATCAAAATAATGCATTATACCGCAAGTCCATGATATTGATGGAAAAATTATATTAATTGCTCTTCCACCGATATTGGCGCCTAGCCGTAATCGTTAGGCAAATGATGACAAACGATATTCCGGAAAAAAATTTGGCTCGAATGAAGAAGCGATTATCGCTATGTTGCCTTATGTTGAAGGTATCTAGAAATTATGTTAAAAAAATTGTGAAAGAATTGTATAAGACTTAAAGGAATATAATATATAATATAATATATAATAATACATATTATATATTGATAAAAGTAGGAAAATCTGATCTAGTATGTTTCTCCATATTAGACTAACAGGCCCATCATTTTTTTATATAGTATTATAACTGGCAGTCTTTTGAGCTCAAATGGGGATTTTAGGTTTAAGGTCGGGGCTCCAACCTAACCTATTATATCAGAAAGTTTTTTAGTTTTGTTTAGAAATTTTAGATAATTTAATTTAATGTTTCTTATATGGTTTTCAAATCAAGTTTGTGGTTCTATAAATTTTCTATAGTTCACCCATCCTAACATTAGAAAAACCGAATTATAAGATGCACTTCTATAGAATTAAACTGATCTTTTAGTTAAAATAAATTGCTTGAATATTTTTTGAGGTTAGAAATTTGTTGTATTAATAATTTTTTTTTATAATTTATGTTTTTTTAATATATTTTTTTAAAAATTTATTTTTTTTTTATTTTTTATAAAATGTATTTTTTTTTTATTACTAATCGGCAAGTATGTTTTAAGAAATATTTATTAATTTACATTAATAAACTGTTATAGTTATAAGATATAAAAAATATATAATAATTGAAATAATTTATAAAACTCTAATCATGATTAATGTTATATTTAAGTTATTTAATAAGATATATTTAACATAAGAGTTATAATGACTATATGGAATTTTATTATTTATTATGCATGTTTAAGCCTTTTATTTTATATTTTATAAAAAAAAATATAATGTATACATCATTTACGCTTTTTGAAAATTATGTAAAAGTATGTTTATAATCTTGATTAATTATTATCTAGTTTTTTGAACGTTATGTTTTTGCTCTGCTAAATAAAACAGTTAGTTTGTTATATTATTAATGTCTATATATTAAGTACAAGAAACTGTAAGAATTTATTCTATAAATTTCTCTTTTATTTTATGCCATAATATTTTATAATAAAATGGATTGATTTTTATTTATAAATAAAATTTCTCATACTTCGAAATGGAAGTGGTATATTATATTATATTATATTTATAATTAGCGTAATCTTAAGCTATTATCTCAATTAAAAAAATATTATGATTATAATTTGAATTTATATATTAATAAAATGAACTTAATATTTTTGTTATAAAATTATTTTTATTTAATAATAAATAAATAAGATAAAGTTTGACATTCAATGGAGTGGAAAAACTATTTTGAAAATAAACTACTCCTAATAGTTTTTATTGCTTCGCGTTTTCGCTAGAAGAAAACCGAAAGGCCTATATAGCTAGAAGGGTATCCACAACACTACATAATTATCTATCCAAACATGATCGTTAATTTCAACGATATATTATAATATCGTCGTTCTGTTTAATTGTTCAACTGTTTTAATAGATTTAATCTCAATTTATAATTCCATTTCATTGATATGTTCGTGTAATAAATTGTATTCAGATTTGATTTAATTTTTTGTGACTCTACATCTACTCGAAATTATATTATTTTTATCATTTGTAATAGTTCTCTTCTTCCTTCTTCTTCTTCTTCTTGTAACATAGCAATCATTTATGTATATTCTTAGCTTGTGAATCTTCTTCAATATTAGTGGAATTAAAAAACAAGAGGATTTTGCTCTAAAATTTGCAATAAATTAATTATGGTAAAATGAACTAGTTCGATATTTTAGTGAAAAAATATTTGTAAGAAGTTTTTATCTAAATAAACAACTTAACTATTATATTTGAAAGATTCTATTCTGCGTATTTATAAAAAAAAATTATTGCGAAATAAAAAATTAAAGGATTTGTTTAAATTAAAGGTTCTTCATTTAAATGAACTAGTTCAATGAATTTTGCTACTACATTCCTCGCAAGAACCCTAGTATAGAAGAGTAGAGACTAAAATTTAATAGGTCTTTCTTCTTCATCGTTGAGTAGTCTGATAAACTATCACAGAAGTTGATTTGTGCTACTTTCAGCATTCGAGCAGCCGAAGATTATCAGGAATCACGAAAATTATCAGGAATACTCAAAGTTGTCAGTGAGATGGGCGGACTCTGCAGAATCCCCACAGCTATCATAGAGTAAAAGTGTCCAGATGCACTAACTCGGAAAAGTCTTAACATAACAAAACTTGGTATTTTTAATAAAAAAAAAACATGAACAAGTTTAGAAATAACCCGCAATTCCTATAAGTATTTTATTCTATAGCTTGTTCCAATCTACTATATAAAATTTGATAAGAAAATATTTATTTGAAAATATTGAAAATATTTAAATAAAAAAATTATTACAAAATTTTTTATAATTTTTTAATATATATTTATAAACTGGCTATAGGTTACGTTTATTTCAATAAAAATTAAAAAAAATCCTTGTTGCTGTTTATTAAAAAATTCTATATTTCGACTCTCTTTGAGAGTCATCATCAGGAGAATGTTCTAAAAAAAAATAATAAAAATTAATAATATCACATTCCATTTTTGTTGTCTAGTTGTCTATTGTCCATATTGCACTGACAACTAATAGACAACTAAAATGGAATGTGATATTATTAATTTTTATTAGAATATACCCCTGATGATGACTATGAAAGAGAGTCAAAATATAAAATTTTTTAAACAAACAGCAATAAAGGATTTTTTTTAATTTTTATTGAAATAAAAGTGATCTATAGCTAGCTAATAAATAAACAAAAAAATCATTATAGAATACAGGTGGATAAACAAATTTAAAGTTTAATAATTTATTATTATATATTTTTATAATTTTCTATTAATACAAAAACAACTATAGTGTGTTATTATTATGGCGTCTTCGATTGGTAAATCTGTATTAAATTTACTTTCGATCTGTCAAAGTTTGTTGTGCAATTAAACATTTTTAGGCTAGTGCCAAGTTAGCAACGTTGCTGGAAAATGCAGGGCTGTATTTTTAAAAAATTTTTAAAAAATGATATTTTCGTTAATATATGGAATTAAACTAAAACAAAAGGCATTATTCTTATAGAGTTTTGAAAGATCTTTCGATTGGCATTTACCAATTTGAGATACGATGCGTATTTTTCAAATTATAGGGAAAATAAAAATTGACCAAAATCGACTTTTTTTGAAAAAATTTATTTTTAGAAAAATCTAGAACAGGTACAATGTTGCACGGAAATACATCTAATAGAGAATTAATCAGGCTATCAACAGCAAAAAAAATCATAAAAATCGAGTAGACCAATTTTGAGAAATTTGATGTCAAAGTCAAATTTCCAAACTCGTCAAATTTCAAGCTTTTTAAAAAATGTAAAACGCAAAAGTATAAAAAAAACTTTCGCAAAACCGGATAAATAAGAATCATTTCAATATCTCAACTAAAACATCAAAATATTATTAAAATAAGTATAAATTTTGCACATGTTCCGATATAAGTGCATTTTATTTAAATTTCGAAGGAGGTACAACCTGCACGCTTAAAGTTCCTAAAACTAAATTGATCACTCTTTCAAACAAAACTAATTTCACAAAAATCGAGTAGAACGTTTTTTAATTATATATGTTTAAAAAAGTGGATTTTTTACGAAAAAAATGTATGTTAACTAACACCATTCTAATAACATATTAAGGTGAAAACCTGTACAAGGCTAAAAATTCACCACCATTGTAAAGTTTATTAAAGAACTCTGTTAAAAGTATCTATAGGCGGTTGTATTCTGTGGTAAGGGAATGATAATAAAATTTAATTTATATAATAATAATATTTTAAATTCAATATTTAAATTAAATTCAAAAATATATTGCATATAAATAAAAAAGAAAGATTTTCGTCTGTAAACTGCTAACATATACCGCCATATCGAACATTTTTCTATATATATTAGAAACAAAAATAAAAAGTAGTACAATGTTGCACGGTATTTTTTTAAATTGTTTATATTTTTCTAATATGAATTGATGTAAGAATTATCAAAATCGAGTAGCAAACAATAAAGATATTAACAAAAACAACTTTTGCAGCATATTCACGAATGCATTAAACTCTGTTACAGGCATTTGTTGTTGGTTATATTCTGTGTTAGGGGACACTATGAAAATTGAAATAATTATAAATTTTACGGAATGGTACACTGTTGCACGGTATTTTTTTAAAAAATAGACATATTCTAGAATATTTTGCTATATAAAATCTGTCTACTCATTTTTAAAGATTTATATAGCAAAATATTCTAGAATATGTCTATTTTTTAAAAAAATACCGTGCAACAGTATTTTGCTATATAAAATCTGTCTACTCATTTTTAAAGATTTATATACCAAAATATTCTAGAATATGTCTATTTTTTAAAAAAATACCGTGCAACAGTGTACCCTTCCGTAAAATTTATAATTATTTAAATTTTGATAGTGTCCCCTAACACAGAATATAACCAACAACAAATGCCTGTAACAGAGTTCAATGCATTTGTGAATATGCTGCAAAAGTTGTTTTTGTTAATATCTTTATTGTTTGCTACTCGATTTTGATAATTCTTACATCAATTCATATTAGAAAAATATAAACAATTTAAAAAAATACCGTGCAACATTGTACTACTTTTTATTTTTTTTTTTTAATATATAGTGAAAAATGTTCGATATGGCGGTATATGTTAGCAGTTTACAGACGAAAATCTTTGTTTCTTACATGCAATATATTTTTGAAAATTTTAGAAAATCTGTCTACTCATTTTTAAAGATGTATATACCAAAATATTCTAGAATATGTCTATTTTTTAAAAAAATACCGTGCAACAGTGTACCATTCCGTAAAATTTATAATTATTTAAATTTTGATAGTGTCCCCTAACACAGAATATAACCAACAACAAATGCCTGTAACAGAGTTCAATGCATTTGTGAATATGCTGCAAAAGTTGTTTTTGTTAATATCTTTATTGTTTGCTACTCGATTTTGATAATTCTTACATCAATTCATATTAGAAAAATATAAACAATTTAAAAAAATACCGTGCAACATTGTACTACTTTTTATTTTTGTTTCTAATATATATTGAAAAATGTTCGTTATGGCGGTATATGTTAGCAGTTTACAGACGAAAATCTTTCTTTTTTATATGCAATATATATTTGAATTTAATTTAAATATTGAATTTAAAATATTATTATTATATAAATTAAATTTTATAATCATCCCCTTACCACAGAATACAACCACCTATAAATACTTTTAACAGAGTTCTTAATAAACTTTACAGTGGTGGTGAATTTTTAGCCTTGTACAGGTTTTCACCTTAATATGTTATTAGAATGGTGTTAGTTAACATACGTTTTTTTCGTAAAAAATCCACTTTTTTAAACTTATATAATTAAAAAACGTTCTACTCGATTTTTGTGAAATTAGTTTTGTTTGAAAGAGTGATCAATTTAGTTTTAGGAACTTTAAGCGTGCAGGTTGTACCTCCTTCGAAATTTAAATAAAATGCACTTATATCGGAACATGTGCAAAATTTATGCTTATTTTAATAATATTTTGATGTTTTAGTTGAGATATTGAAATGATTCTTATTTATCCGGTTTTGTGAAAGTTTTTTTTATACTTTTGCGTTTTACATTTTTTAAAAAGCTTGAAATTTGACGAGTTTGGAAATTTGACTTTGACATCAAATTTTTCAAAATTGGTCTACTCGATTTTTATGATTTTTTTGCTGTTGATAGCCTGATTAATTCTCTATTAGATGTATTTCCGTGCAACATTGTACCTGTTCTAGATTTTTCTAAAAATAAATTTTTTCAAAAAAAGTCGATTTTGGTCAATTTTTATTTTCCCTATAATTTGAAAAATACGCATCGTATCTCAAATTGGTAAATGCCAATCGAAAGATCTTTCAAAACTCTATAAGAATAATGCCTTTTGTTTTAGTTTAATTCCATATATTAACGAAAATATCATTTTTTAAAAATTTTTTAAAAATACAGCTCTGCATTTTCCAGCAACGTTGCTAACT